GTGACTCACTAGTATTGCTAAACTTTTAGAGGTCACTTTACGGTTAGTAGAACACATTTTGATTTCAGAAAATATTTGGTACCCTTTTTTAAATATTGAAGTGTTTGAAATTACATGTGACGTTGTTTTATAGAACAAACACATTTCAGGCAGTCAGACTATTTTCTGCAAAAAATCTGATTTGATTTATGAAATTATATCAGGGCTTTTATTTGAAGGCTATCTGGAAAAGGCCTTGCATTTTTAGGTTAATTTCTTAAATGTTTTTAATATGAAACTTAATACTTCATTGAAATATACACATAATAGAATAAACAGTTCTGTTAAGAAAAATAGCACTGAGGTTGCAACAAAATTGACATTGGTTATGTATGTATTCATATTAACACTTTGAGATCAACCCTTTTGGGCACCTAAAAAAGGTGTCTAGTTTACCTTGTCTGCTTTTTGAGGACTAGGATGGCTTCAGACATTTTTTATAGTACATTTATTTTATTATAGTATTTTACAGATAGGACTTTGGTAGCCTTAGGGGAGTTATCTTCTTTGGATGAATAAAATATAATTGTCATAAGACATCAGCCATCATATTTTTCTCTATTTATAATAAATTATAGATCAGTGCACTACAGTCTATAAATGCATCTAGTAGTTACAGCACCATAATACATATTTATAGCCTTGTAACTATAGTCTATTAATACATCTTATAGTTCTAGCACCATTAAATGTATTTATAGCCTTGTAATTCATTTTTCCAGCTTTGGTTTTACATAATTTGATTTTTGATTTAAATAAAAGAAAATGCCAATTTTGATTCTGCAGTTCTCCATACAACTCCCCCTTTCTCTTTTATTACTGTTATCACTTTCTTTTCCTTCAGACTTCCTCCCTTTTATTCACTTCTTCCAAAGCTGCACAACTTTTAACCTTCATCTTAATTTTAACAAACACAACTTGGGAGACATATCATGATCTTTATTTAGATTCTTTACTTTAAAATGCAGTGATTGAAGTTTAGAGACATAAACAGAATAATATTGGAAGCCATAACAGCAAATGCATTCTAATGTGTAGTAAATCTTTATAACATCCTATGGTGTTTGTTGTAATAATTACAGAGAATTGTTGTGATTTTGCTGTAACTGGCATAAGTAACCTTGTTGCTATTTAATATTATTTGATGTCCACTTATTGGAAAGTGGTGTGGGCCCTGAAGTAGGAAAGAATCCAAATTCAGGATAATCATTGGAACACATGATTAAATCCCACTAGAATCAGCAGGATTTAAGTACATGCTTAAAATAATAATGTCTTTGAGCAATGTTACATTAATGTGAAATAGGAACTATTTAGTTCATACCTGCAGCGTCCACGGTTGGGCTTGCAGTGCAGCAGTTATTTATGCATTGCTGTTCACACACCTACAGTGCAAACTGAAGGACTGTGTAAGACATGCCCTAAATAGGGTGACCAGATGTCCCGTTTTTAAAGGAACAGTTCCATTTCCAAGCCCTCGGCAGGTGTCCCTACTTGTTTTTAAAAATGGGCCAATTGTCACACATTTTCTCTCTCTCTCTTGCCCCTCCCATTAGTACTGGTGGATCCTGCTACTGACTGGATCCTTATTTGCCAGCTGCCCACTCACCAACAGTGAGTGAGTATAGGGGTGGTGTGGGGGAGGTCCAGTGGCTGATGATAGGGTTGGGAGTGCAAGTGACTTTGCTAAGGTCTCTGCGCTGCCTCCCACAGCGCACTCCACATAGGTACAGGCCTCCTTGTCTGTCTTTCTGGCTCATATTCCTCTCTAGGAAATCTGCAGAACTGCGAAATGGTCTTCGGTCCATACCATTACATCGCACTACGCTATTGTACAGCAATCCAGACATGATGTGGCTTTTGGGGCTGCAGTACTCAAAGTCAGCTACACATTGATTCTGACCTATCTGGATAAGGCTTGTGAATCATCTCAATTGGAATACATATGAGCAAACACTCAAGAAGAAAAAATGGTTACTCACCTTTGTAATTGTTCTTCGAGATGTGTTGCTCATATCTATTCTATACCCACCCTCTTTCTCACTGCTGGAGTAGCTAGCAAGAGGGAACTGAGGTGCAATTGAGTTAGCAGGGTCATATATACTGTGATACTTCAGCACTACTTGAGGTGCTGAGGGCTTCACAGCTGATCCAATGTGTAGCAGTTCAGGTAAAAACTTTCCGTCAGTCATTCATGTGGTGCACGCACACCTCAGTTGGAATAGATACAAGCAACATATATTGAAGAACAGTAGTTACAAAGGTGAATAACCATTTTTTTTCTCTCACTCTTACATTGGGACCTGAGCTATGGTACCTTGTGTATCCACCTTGCTTATCTTCTATTACGGCCTCTATTAAGCAGGTATGACTGTATTTAGCACCTGCAGTTCTTTCTTTAGGGAGTCTATGACCAATAGTCTATGACCAATCTGTCACAGTCAATAACCTTATTAAAACTTGACAGTAGGAAAAACATTTAGAGAAAGAGATTTTGAAATCTTAAAGGCTTACCATCCCTGTAAAGTAATCTAGCAGGCCCAGCTTCTTCAGACAACATAGTAGATGCCTCTTTCTCAACCTGGTTTCCACAGACAACTCCCCCATTTTCCAGATATAGTCTCCTTTTTAAATTGTAGTCTGCTTGATCTTTTGTGCTCTTCAGTTGTTTTCTGGCATGGTATCTTAACAACCCTCTAATGCAGTGGTTCCCAAACTTTTTGGCATCACGCCCACTTTTTGATTTTTGAAAAACCTTCATGATGCCCCCCCCCCCCAAAATAGCAGCAAAACTTGTTGAGCCAAAAAAAAAAGGAACTGATCAGAGCAGCCAAACTTGATTGGGGGGGCACACACCCCCTGGAATTTCTTCACACCCCTAAGTTTGGGAACCCATGCTCTAATGCTTGCTGAGAAGTGGTTTAACTTGAGCAATTCTGTCCTTTCCTGCTTGTTTTTGTTGCAGGCCCCTATTACGCTATACCACTATATTCATACAATAAACATCAGATAATAGATCAATGTGCAATGTTTGTGAATTTCACAGTATCTCCAGTTTCTTCACAAAGAGGAAATCCCTTTTGGCTTCATGCAGGAAAGCAACTGGGGCATAGTCATTGCAAGTCACTACTGAAACTCTCTGAACCGGGACTCCCTGATTGGCCAACAGATGTTCGCATTAGGCGAGGTATTTCCAGTAGAGATAAGGAGGTGTTAGTGCCGTTATACAAGGCATTGGTAAGACCTCATTTGGAATACTGTGTGCTGTTCTGGTCTCCCATGTTTAAGAAGGATGAATTCAAACTGGAACAGGTACAAAGAAGGGCCACTAGGATGATTCGAGGAATGGAAAACCTGTCTTATGAAAGGAGACTCAAGGAGCTTGGCTTGTTTACTTTAACCAAAAGAAGGCTGAGGGGAGACATGATTGCACTCTTTAAATATATTAGAGGGATAAATACCAGGGAGGGAGAGGAATTATTTAAGCTCAATATCAATGTGGACACAAGAACAAATGGATATAAACTGGCTATCAGGAAGTTTAGACTTGAAATTAGACAAAGGTTTCTAACCACTAGAGGAATGAAGTTCTGGAACAGCCTTCCAAGAGAAGTAGTGGGGGCAAAAGACCTATCTGGCCTCAAGATTAAGCTAAGTGGGTTTATGAAGGGGATGGTTTGATGGAATAACATGATCTTGGCAACTAATTGACCTTTCACTATTGTTGGTAAATAGGCCAATGGTGGGACGATAGGAGTTACTATAGAGAACTTTTTCCTGGCTGGTGAGTCTTGTCCACGTGCTCAGGGTTCAGCTGATCGCCATATTTGGGGTCGGGAAGGAATTTTCCTCCAAGGTAGATTGGCTGAGGCCCTGGAGGTTTTTCACCTTCCTCTGTAGCATGGGGCATGGATCACTTGCTGGAGGATTCTCTGCATCTTGGGGTCTTCAAACCATCATTTGAGGACTTGAATATCTGAGATATAGGTGAGAGGATTATTCCAGGAGTGAGTTGGTGAGATTCTGTGGCCTGCATTGTACAGGGAGTCAGACTAGATGATAATAATGATCCGTTCTGACCTTAAAGTCTATGAGTCTGAGATGTTCCAGGACCAGAGAGTACCAGTGGAGGGCTAGCGCCTAGGAGCCCTGAAAGCTGGCAGGGTAGCAGGGCTTCCTGTCAGGACTGCGGGAGCCCAGTGTGCGCACAGGTAGCAGTGCTACCAGGTGCAGCAATGGGAGCCTGGCAAACAGATGCAGCAGGGCTGCCCAGCATGGCAATAGGAGCTAGGCATGACAGCAGGAGCCCAGTACGCAGAGGTGGTGAGGCTGCCCAGTAGGGTAGCGGGGACTGACAAGGCAGTGGGGCCAGCAAGAGGGAGAAGCCAGATGGCAGGGCAGTGGTTGGGCCAAGGCTGGAGAGGGCTGGTGGCAGGGGGTCCAGAAATGACCACTGCTGGTCCGGCAAAATCCTTCATCCGGGACCAGTCCGGTCCAGAGGGTGCTGGACCAGGGAGGTCCAACTTGTACTTCATTGCCATCACATTATGAAGCTTAGAACTGTACCTAGAGAGCCTCTTACATCCTCTTCAAAACTGCTGTTTGCCATTCTTGTATGTCTTATTTAGGTGTTTAACATCTGACTTCTGTTCTAAGGTTCACTGCTTTACTCTACTCCCTCAATAGGAGGAAGGGTTTAATCACACAAAGACTTCAAACATGGGCCGATCACAGACACAGGGACCCAGCCACATGGTCCTTACAGAGATACAAACCAATCCTGTCTCACCTGGCCTATTCTGGGCACAAGGGCAAGCCACATGTCCCTCCTGGAGACTAAAGAACAGATCAATCACAACACTTTTAAAGTTACCATTTGTTCTATTTAATTAATTTGTTATGTTTCAACTGTGCAGTGTTAAATTATAATGAAAATGTAAGCAGCTTGATTTAATTTGCAGGATGGAGGTCTGCTGCTGAATAATCCCACTGCGTTAGCGGTCCATGAGTGCAAATGCCTTTGGCCAAATGTTCCACTGCAGTGTGTAATATCGTTGGGCACTGGTCGATATGAAAGCGAGAGGAAGAACAGCATCACACACACAAGTTTGAAAACCAAACTTACAAATGTTATCAGCAGCGCTACTGATACAGAAGGTCAGTGTCTACTGATTTGTCTTGTCTCTGTTTTTAACTATGGCTTTCAGACTGTTACTTATTTCATTATAGTATATATTTTGATTTACTATATTTCTAAAGAAAATTTAAATGAATCTGGAGCACTTTTAGTCCAGGGAACATTTCATAACTTTTTTTTCAAATTGGAATCTGGAGCACTTTTAGTCCAGGGAACTTTTAGTTCATAACTTTTTTTTCAAATTGAGATTATGTTGTTAATCTCTTTGCCTCTCATATGAAGGTGGATTTCAGGTTTAGTTTAGATGAAAAGTCAATGTAGACAAAAGCAGGAAAATAGAGATTTAAAGAATAATTTATCAACAACCTGTTTTCACTGTACATTATAAATATTTCCAATGGTCTTGCTATTTTAAATTTATCTTTTTTTCCCCTCTCTGTTACCCCTGATATTGGATTTTTATTGTTAGTTGTTTTTATGAGTGTAGTGGGGTAATAATAGAGCTAGTGAAATGTGCATTTAAATTTATTTCCATGAGTCTGCACCTTAAGTCAGTGATTATTAAGCTGTCTTTAGTTGATTAATACATCACTGAAAAGTTTAACCATAATGCTGACCATCAGGAAAAGGTTACAACCCTTAAAAATCAACATAAGAGTGAGACTTAGAATGATAGTCATCAAGCAGCGTTTGTTCTGTTTTGTTGTTTGTTTTTGTTTGTTTTTAACTTGGCCTTCAGAAGAAGTGCAAGCCTGAAAATCCATTTCAGGAGGAAATAGGGAACACTTTTTATTATATAGTTCCAGCTTTTCAGAGAAATATTAAAACGGTTGATCCAGAACATTGATTTCTGTTCTGAAGCTAGGGTTGCCAGGTGTCCGGTTTTGAAACGGACAGTCTGGTATTTGAGGGTTCTGTCCGGGACAAAAAATAAGAAAATACCGGACGCATTAAATGTCCAGTATTTTCTGATTAGGTAAGTTTTATTATTATTGGGAGTATCAGTACGTAGTTGCATACTGCCTGGCTGGTAGACATGCTCATGCTGCGTGAACATGTCTACCAGACAGGCAATACACAACTACACGAGGTGGGGGAGGGAATCTCCGGGGCCGGACTTGCTCATGCTTCGCCAGGACGGGCAGTGCCCCGGGATCTGCGTGCGCCTAGTTCAGTCGCACTCCTCACCAGTTGATTCTCTCCTCTAGGCCCCTCCCGCCAGCCCTGCTCCCCCCAATCTCCTCCCAGCCAGCCCTGCTCCCCTCCCGGCCGGTGTCCCCTCCTCCCCCATCTGATATCAGGTGTGTCCGGTATTTTTTTTTTAAGCCACCTGGTAACCCTATCTGAAGCTTGTAACATTTAAAAAAAATCCTTCTCTCAAAAGACGAAGTTCTGTCTGTCAGTGAATGTGTCTTTCCTTGGTGTTTGTGGCAGCCATTCACCCTACTATGGTAGTAAAGTAGAGCTAAACAATTAGGCTACGTCTATATTGCATCCCTTTTTCGTAAAAGGGATGCAAATTAGACGTATCGCAATTGCTAATGAAGCAGGGATTTAAATCTCCTCCACTTCATTTGCATAAAAATGGCTGCCGCTTTTTTTTCGGCACGGAGCTTTGCCAGAAAAAAGTGCCAGTCTAGACGCGGATCTTGCGGAAAATAAAGCCTTTTCCAAAAGATCCCTTATCCCTCTTAAAATAAGGGATAAGGGATCTTTCGGAAAAGGCTTTATTTTCCGCAAGATCCGTGTCTATACTGACGCTTTTTTCCAGCAAAGCTCTGTGCCGAAAAAAAGCGGCAGCCATTTTTATGCTAATGAAGCGGGAGAGATTTAAATCCCCGCTTCATCAATGTTTGGGGAACAAGTAACTAGGGTTTAAGTAAGGAGATGATAAACTGGGAAAGAATCTAAAAGAGGGAGAGAAATGAGAGAAGGAAAATTCCAAAAGACGTGAGGGTAGTGAAGAGGAAAGGGAGAAATTGAAGCATTTTGCATATCCGTCCAGTGTAATCAGATTTAAATAATTGATTATTAACTTTTTTAATTCAAACGTACAAAAACTTCAAAAACAAAAAGTGCTTGACAAATATTATATCCGAATTTAAATTAGTCACCAACTGCAAAAGCTTTGAAACTAATTTATGCCCCTTTGATTGCAATACTTGAAAGGTTTGTGATAAACTTGTACCAGAATTTCATCATCTGCCCTATCATACCTCTTTTGTATGGCAATTCTTGGGGAACTGGAATGAGAGAGAGGTATGAGAGGTGTTGAACCGTAATATACTACCACTTTTTGGATCCACTTACCTGCAAAATATTGAAATGTACATTTTAATTATAGACCCTGCTGCTAATTTTGTTTAGATGTCATATCGAATCAAGGTGGGCTATAGAGGAAGGTGAATTTTTATGGTGAAAATAGATCTTTCATCCTAGTCTGAAGAGAGAGGACTTCTGATAGTCTCATGGTGTGAAATAGCATTCACTCAGACTATCTATAGACATTTACATTTTCTGTGGTATTTCAAAATAGGGATATAAAATCCTGTTTAATCAGTTAACCGGTTAAATGTTTTGTTAGTTCCATCAGATTGTTCAGTTCATTCTAATGACAAAATTGTTTTCTGTAGGATTAGAAGCAGTTGTGCATAAATTCAGAAGCTCTTGCATTTCTGAAGCATATTTTAACTGTCCTACTACAGAGCATGCCCTTTTGTTTCACATTTAGTACATTATGCAGTGATAATGAGGGTGTAATATATACATGCAGGGATGGGAGCTGCAGGAAAATTAATTAGCCTGCAAAAACAATCAGTATTTGTAGGACTGATACTCTTGATTTGTCAAAAATGTCATTATGATTTAACATTTTTCTATATTTGTTTTAAACCAGAAGTCCATACTATGTTGGATGGCCTATTACCTCCAGACACCTATTTCAGATTTAATCCTCTGATGAATGAAGACATACCTCTGGATGAGAATCGTAAAGAAAAACTCAATCAGTTGCGTACAGATGGAATACGGTATTTAGAACGAAATGAAGAAAAAATTAAAAAAGCTGCTAAAATCCTAACACAAGAAAAAACACTTTTGCAGAGATTTAATGACTGGCTAAAATTAAAAGCTGAGATGTGTGAAGGACTTCCATTTCTTTCCAAACTGTGAATATGTAATTTATGAACACTCATATATACCGTTCCAGAAAATCCAGCCAATACTATAAGGGAGCTATGCTTATATACTGTTACTGTAGAATTCTGGATTGCTGTCAAAGTCCAGGAAATGCTGGAGAAAGGAGTTCTCACTCAAGCATTGGTATAGTGCTGCCTGTTTTGTACATACATCCTTGGAATAAGGTTTCATGGTGTTCCTCTTTTGAGGTTTAGGAACATTACTTGGTATGAATTAATTCGAGTAGAATACTGGTGGGTTTTTTTTTTTTTCTGGCTGTTCATGTAGGCCTGTTTTAGATTCATTTCACCTAGCTCAATTTTGCCAACTAAGATTGACAATTATGAAAAACATATGTGCTATACATTTTTGTAAGTATATGCCATAATCATGTTGACAGTAACACCTTGTTTATGTACCTACTATTGAATTTAAAATAAAAACAAAAATTAGACTGATTTCGAAGTATATCATAGGTACTGTAGTATAGACTGCAAGCTGTTTTACTGCCAGTGTAGGTAATATCCTTTCAGTTTATGAAAACACAGAACTTTTCCATTTAAAAGATAATGTTAATATAATTAGTTTTAAATGTGCACTTTTTTTTGCGTGTAACAATTGACTTTGTCCAGTAAGATGTTTGCTTATTATAAAAAGATATAAAATATTCAAAATCAACCAGTATTTTTCCTGTAATTTTAAGATGTGCTGTACATTAACTTTTATAGATTCAACTCCAGAATAACTTATTCATTGTTCGAAAATAATTCTAAGATCTTATCTCAGTAAATAGTCTTGAAACATAATAAAGGAAATAAACTCTTGAAATAACCCACTTCTTATGCTGGAGTAGTGACTTTCTTAATGTATTGAAACCTCAGATATAGACACCACCAAACTTTAGAAACCAGTATATAAGAAAAGTATATAAAGATGACGCATGGAGTAAATAAGTTCAAATAAAATATGTATTTTTATGCCTGTAAATCCGTATGTGCATTCTCCCAATATTTGGTTAACATTTGTGTAGTGTTTTTATGAACCCTAAAAGGTTGCTTTTTGGGAAAAAATACTTTATTTGAATTTTATTATACCCAGCTTTGAGGCCTATTCCACTAGCCTTATTTATGTGACTTCAGTGAGAATACACTTAAGAAAATGACAAATATAATTGGACCCTTAGAAATAGTGTAGCTGTGTGAAGATTTGGGGTAATCTCTGTACAATTTATTAATTCCAGTTTAAGGTTATTGCGTCTAGACTGGCAAGATTTTGTGCAAAAGCACCTGCTTTTGCACAAACACTTGCCAGCTGTCTACACTGGCCGCTTGAATTTGCGCAAGAGAACTGACTTTGTAATGTACAAAATCAGTGCTTCTTACGCAAATACTTTCACGTTCCTGCTCAGGTAAAAGCCCTCTTTGCGCAAGAATACTTGCACAAGAGGGCCAGTGTAGAGAGGCACCTTAATTTTTTGTGCAAGAAAGCCCGATGGCTAAACTGGCCATCGGAGCTTTCTTGCGCAAAAGCGCGTCTAGATTGGCACAGATGCTTTTGTGCAAAAGCAGTTTTTTCCGCAAAAGCATCCGTGCCAATCTAGACGCTCTTTTGTGGAAATACTTTTAACGGAAAAACTTTTCCGTTAAAAATATTCCCGCAAAATCATGCCAGTCTAGACGCAGCCTGTGTGTCATTACCAAACTACAGTTATGGAAGTGGTGCTAGTGTACCTTCTCTGCTGTCCTTTTTCCTTCTCAGAAAGGGTGCTCAACAGAGGATATGTGCCCAAAAATCCAGAGGCAGTGTTTAGTTTCAGGAAGCCTAAAACCCATGAGTTCAGCACAATGGAAGCCAAGCAAAGCAGTGTTGTGAGTGTCCAACACAAGGAACTTTACCAGAGCTGTGACAAGCTGCAATGGGACTTTTTTTTTCAACTCATCATGTGAATATGGTATTACTGGATCTCCAGGGACTCTGGCCAGATTTTAAAAGATACTTAGGTGCCTAAATACCTTTAAAATCTGGCCTTCAGTCTTGGATCTTTTGTTCACTTGAGTAGTCCCATTGACTCTAGTCGGATGATTTGTGTTGGTAAAAGTAGCAATCTCTGTCCCTAGGTGAGGCTTGTCTGATGGGTGCTTTAAACATGGATAAAATATTGAACTTCAGAGTGTTACTACATCAATAAACAAAGCAGCACTGCAAGCGTTTCAGAAGCCTGTCTGCCATTTTGCCTTTCTGGAGTGGATAGTGATACTAACCAAAGTATTTATCTTCTGTTACGTAATTCAGTTACTCAGAATGACTCAATTCCTTTGATTGCCCACTGCTAGGTGTTCCTTTTAAAATAATTGGTAGCTGCAGTAGCCTGTCTTTAATAACAAGCCTTTTCAGGGAGTGGCTCTAAATGGATTCAGAGAAGGAAGAGGAAGCTACAACTGAGATCCTGCATTCCCCTCAGCAGGGTGCCACATCTCATGGTGTGGTTAGCGTAAAACAAAATCCAGGCTTTTAAATGTTGTGAGACACTCTTGTCATCTCTTTGCCCCACCTGTTCTTTCTCCCTCAGCTTTTATCAGACCCTCCACTGTTCCTAGGTTTCTTTTTGTCAGGCTAGTAAGTTCTGTTAAGGTTCACTCTGTTAAGGTTTTACTCTTAACTCAAGTGTTAGAATATCTCTGTGATGCAAATAAATTCTAGATACTCAAAGACTAAAGAGCCCCAGTAGTTTCAGGCATCAGAGAAGGAGTGAGTTTCAGTTTCTCCTTGATTTGGGAAAAATTAGGATGCTCCAATAATTGGGTGAAAGAATTAAGTATATTGATCATTTGTCATTTTTCATTATGAATACTCCGTATGCACCCAAAAGAGTTTCCAGAACAAATACTAATGTAATCACTTTTTTTAAAAAATCACACATTGCTGTGGGCTTTGCTATAGCCTGGCCTGCCCTCTAAGACAGTGGCTCTCAAACTTTTTAGCTCACAGCCCACCCCACTCAATGCAGATCTTTCCACAGACCACCAACCAACTACCCATGATGACAAAATGGATGCAAGATGGGGTAGGAGGTTGGGTCTGGTCAGAAGGTAAGGTACAGGAGTGGGCTGGGGGTGGGGATCTAGTCGGGAGGTTGAGTGTGGGATAGGGATGTAAAACCCTGTTTAATTGTTTAACTGGTTAATCAGTTAAAGGGGGGGGGGTGA